CATGAAACAGACCAGCAGCAACATGAAACAGACCAGCAGCAACATGATGTGATTTTTTTTCCCACAGTGATTATTCTGGTTAGATGTTCATGAGTCTAACAGCTTTAGGGTAGAAGCTGTTCCTCAGTCTAGTGGTTTTACACTTAATGCTCCTTAACCTCCTTCCTGAGGGGAGCAGAGCAAAAAGTGTGTGTGCTGGGTGAGTGGGGTCCTTCATGATGCAGGTGGCCCTCTTCCTGCATCTAGAGGTGTAGATGTCTGTGATGGTGGGGAGGCTGACTCCAACAGACTTCTGTGTAGCCTTCACCACTCTCTACAAAGCCTACTTTTTTAGCTCACCAGCCACAAATCCTCCATGATTTTCCAAATTGAGTTAATTCACCGATTATTCATAAGGAATTCACACAACTGCACTCACAAACAAAATGTCATATTATCATCCTTCTAAAAATGAGAGTCTGCTCCCTGAACACACCATGGTACTAAAACCATTTGTAATGATTTCCTAACATAATAATAATAATAATAAAAAAACACACACACAGAAGGATTGTTCTTCAATCTTCTGTCCTCTTTGTCTTTCACTTTTTGTTTCTCGCACCCTGTAAACAGCATGAGGTCAAATATCTTCCTGGATGTGGGGGAGTCATCAGCCCAGCATCGGCGGTGGTACTACGAGTTGGTTGTGGATCATGTCGACCCCTTCCTCACACCTGAACCGACACATCTGCGTGTTGGCTGGGCCTTCACTAAAGGATACCAGCCCAGGCCCACAGGAGGGGACAGCTGGGGGGGGAATGGAGTGGGGGATGACCTCTACTCGTATGGCTTTGATGGACTACACCTGTGGTCAGGTGAGAAAGAGAAAAAAAAAAGTTACAGTGAAAGTATAGTAATGGTAGAGAATTTGCCTATTACTGCAAACTATGAAACTATTGAAAATTTATCAGGGACCAAAACCAAAAACAAACAAACAAAAAAAAAAAGCTATTTAATGCCGAGTGTTTAATTATGATCCAGTTGAAAAAAAAAATGTGTGAATCCACACTGTAGTGTGTAAGGGGTTCTGAGAACAGTAACAAAAATTCAGATAACTAAAATATAAAACACAAAATAATGTACTAACAGAGCCCTTTTTGAATATTTATTTATGCCTAAAGCTTAGGGAAACAATTGCAAAGCCTAAAGCAGGACTAAAACTGTCAATCATAAAGACTGAGCTGCTTAAAGGCTGTCCAACAGTTTGGTCTGGAAGTCAGTCTAAAGAAGACTGAAGTGCTCCGTCAACCTGCACCCAATGAACCGCACCACTCCCCACTCATCGGCATCAACAAAGCTGAGCTGAAGGCTGTGAATCAGTCCACATACCCTGGGCACGCAATATCATCAGATGCCAAAATGGACATAGAAACCAACAACAGGCTGGTTAAAGCAAACTGTGCCTTTGGCAGACTCTACAAAAAAGTGGTCCAATAAAGACCTAAGAACTGGGACAAAGGTCCAAGTATACAGAGCGGTGGTACTAGATATTTGTTAGCGAAGCCAGGCCAAGAAGATAAAGGATCAATTATGTAATGAAAGAAACTGGAGATTATTGTGAATTATCATTCTGAGTACAATACTTGCACAGAGGGATTTAGCAGAAATTAGATTTATTTATGAGCCATTATAATTAAGTTTGGAATTAGAAAGTGCAGTTACATTGATAGCAAATTCCAATTAATTTAAATGCTGCAATAAAATGTTGTTAGCATATTAACATTCTAATGTCACAGGGTGACATGTTTCTGAAGTCTTAGGTGTAATATATCTTACATTTATTGCTGTATGAAAGAACTGGTACATTATAATAATTCAACATTTTATATGTATTTTAGCTGTTGGCTTTTATTAAATTGTTAGAAGAAAAAGACAGCTTGAGTTACTGTTTCTTCTGAATTTCAGGACGTGTAGGACACAGAGTCAGCTCTCCCTTCCCCCACCTGCTGAAAGATAATGATGTGGTTAGCTGCTGTCTTGACCTCACTGGTCCTTGCATCTCTTTCCGGGTCAATGGTCTACCAGTGCAGGGCATGTTGGAGAACTTCAGTGCTAATGGACTTCTTTATCCTGTGGTCAGCTTCTCTGCTGGAGTCAGGTCAGCAATTGTTCCACACACTTGTAGTTTGCTGTTAGTTTAATGTGCTGACGTTGTTTAAATTATTTTAGTCTTCATTAAATGAATAACTACCATGTTTTCCGGCATATAAGTCACAGTTTTTTTGCCTAGATATGCCAGTTCTGCAACTTATACGCCGAAGTGACTTATATACGTTTTATTTCCATAGTCATGACGCAATTTTTGACTGATGCTTTAAATTTTCATTCATAGTGACATGAACCAGAGTAAACATTATCATTTGCAGCCACTAGAGGGCCCTATAGGCTTTTGACAACTACTGGAAGGCGTATATGTTGTTCCTGTATCGCTACCCCTGCCTCCCCCACCCCCACATCATTGACCATTGAAGTGCATTTATTAAGGAAAAGTTAAACTGAGACACAACTTTGCTATAATGTTGAACAAACAAATAATTGTTTTTAAGTTTTAATCTTGTTAAATTTCGAAGAACTGCAACAGCGAGTCCTCCCGTTCATTCTCCCGCGGCTGCCAAATGAGTTTTGGCACGACACCGGCCCACATTTTCCGGGGGGTCAGCGGTGAGGCATAATAAACGTGACTTATATGCCAAAGCGACTTGTGTATGTTTTTTCCTCTTTATAATCCTTTTTTTTGACTGATGCGATTTATACGCCGGAAATTACGGGAACCATCTTAAACATACCATAACTGGGCTTATGGTACTATTTCTATTTCTGTAGGGTCCTAACATAGTGAATTCCTTTCTTGTGCTTTTCCTAAAATCAGGTTTCGTTTTCTGTTTGGTGGACGACATGGAGAGTTTCGCTTCCTGCCCCCAGCAGGATATGCTTCATGCTCTGAAGCTCTGCTTCCAAAAGTCAAACTGAAGGTGGAGCCGTGTCAAAAATACATCTTGGATCGTGGAGAAGGGAAAAAAGAGCTCATTGGTCCCCTGGTTCCAGTCACTCCAGTTATCTTCATTCCTTCACCCGTAGACACCAGCCAGGTGATGTTAATTATTTAAGATTACTAAAACCTGACAGATCCGGTTTGAAAGAGCTTGTCTAAAAAAATATACATCATGGTGTAGTAACGGGTATTAACCTTACAGATTGTGTTACCTCCACAACTTGAGGACATCAAAGAAAAAATGGCCGAAAATTTTCATGAGCTCTGGGTGAGGGACAAGATTAATACTGGATGGACAAATGGACCTGTAAGAATAAAATAAAAGCAGTATTTTACTGAAAAGCGTTAAAAAAGCAACAACAAAAGCTTGATCTTATGTGCTTTAGGTCTGCTTGCTAAATAAAATAAACTTTTTTTTTGTTTTTGAACAGCTGAAAGATGAAAATAAACTGCATGATCCTTGTCTGGCAATGTTCTCCAAGCTCCCAGAGCAGGAGAGAATCCAGAACCTTCAGATGGCTCAGGACGTACTCAAGTGGGCTTCATTGCATGCATCATTCAGTGTTGTAGTTGATTATGACAAACCTTTGTCTCATTCAAGTCTATGTCTGCTTTCTTACTGTCTCCATTCATTCAATAAAGGACTCTCCTTGCCTTTGGTTTCAACATAGTTTTAAGAGATGTTCACGCAGAGGAGCGACTCAAATACATGAGACTTCACACCAAGTAATTTTTTTTTTCTTGATCTTGTGTATTCTTCTACCAGGACACTTGACTCTACAACACTAGTCCCTCATTTATCTCAGGGGTTACGTTCCAGACACCCCGCGATAGGTGAAAATCTGCGAAGTAGGGATGTTATATTTATTTATTTTAGTATTTATATATATTTTAAGGCTTTATAAATCCTTCCCACACTCTTGAAATGTTCTTAACAACGTTCTAAATGTCTAAATGCTGTAAAAGAGCACCGTGAAAGAGAACAGACAAACTGATGCTACAGTTACTGAGCCCTGGGGGCGGGCTGGCCATTGAGGCTCGGTTCAGGTTCAGGTCATGCTTGATTATTTTAAATAAACAATCCATGCCCCTCGTGCGGCTCACTCAGGTATAAGACAGGCCCCCTTGCCCTTCCTTTCTTTTTCAGACGCTGTCTGTTGCGCGCCCATCTGTTGTGTGTCTCTGGGACACGATGGGGAAATACAGACCCTGCCCCACCCCCTCCTTTCTCTTTCTTTGCTGTGACAGACAGCCTCAAAAAGAGAAAGGAGGGGGCACATATGAACAAATGTAGAATATAGAATAAAATGCTTAGGTGGAAAAATAGGAGTGAATCAGTTTAAAAAGAGAGAGAGTGGCTGAGCGTGGCTGAGTGCGGCTAACTCATGTATAAGACAAACCCCCACCCCTTCCTTTCTCTTTCCAAGGCTGTCTGTCACAGCAAAGAAAGAGAAAGGAAGGGGTGGGGTCTGTCTTTTCCCATCGTCTCTGCTGTGACATCCTCAGAAAGAGAAAGGAGGGGGCAAGGTTGGGTCTGTCTTTCCCCATCGCCAATCGTGTGTCGTGTACAATCTTACATTGAAACCCCCCGAAAGAGTGAGTCTGTGAATGTCGAACCACAAAGTATCGAGGGATTACTGTATTTGTATTGCACCAATACCCTATTAGTGAAATCCCTTTACAAACAAATTGCAATAACTACCAGTTACTGTTTAAATCCAGTTCTGATCACGACCAGTTGTTTTCAATATTTCCTGTCTTAGGTACGAGCTGCCCTGTGGCTACAGACCTACACCTATTGATTCAAGCCAAGTTCGTCTTAGTTTGGCAGACGAGGAGGTGGTTGACCTGCTGGCAGAGAACGAACACAATTTATGGGCCAGAGATCGGATCAAACAAGGTTGGACCTACGGGGCCCAACAGGTGTTTATGTTAGCTATATTACTGGATTAATGACAGTTTTGAGGAACATTTACAATTGAACATTGAGTGCGGTAACTACGTGTTTTATTCTTGCCATTTTGCATAAATTCAGGATGTGAAAGCAAAGCGGAGCCCTCACCTTGTACCTTGCCACCTTCTTGATGAAAGAACAAGGAAAGCAGGGTTGGAGAGTGTGAGAGAGGCTGTCTGTACCCTGCTAGCTTTTGGTTACAGCTTGGAGCCTGTCAGCCAGGGATGGAGTAGGTGTCAAATTCTGTTCCACATCCTAAAAGTGACAGCTAGATCACAATGCTGTTAACTGCTTAACAATATATGCTTAGTCTATAGGTTTGTGAGGATTTTATGCTGTGTGTTGCTCATCATGACAGGGTTACTTTCTCATTAAACAAAACTAATATACTTTAAAATATTAATTGTACTATTTGAAAGAGTCTTTATTATACTGTAACTTTTATGTTAAGGCACCCTAACAAGAAATTAGTAAAGATTTTCTGAAACGGTCACATTTGCTCCATTTCTTTAACTGACAGCTGCATCATCAAAGCCGTGCCTCTTCTCTGCCGAGAGGAGCAGAGTGTTCAGACCAGATAAATCCTATGCTGTGACCAGGGGGAAGTGGTATTTTGAATTTAAAGTTCTGACAGCTGGGAATATGAGAGTGGGATGGGCCCGACCAGGATGCGCTCCAGATAAAGAGCTGGGCTTGGACGATCAGGCGTATGTCTTTGATGGATCTGAGGTGAGGCGTTCAAATCTCACACACCAACGATGTTGAAGCTCGAGTCCCAGTCTAATTCACTGAATCTTGAAGTTCCTACAGACTGTTACCCGCTTCTTTTCACTCACTGTTTTTATTTTACTGTTCAACAGCAAAGACTTTCATCAGATATCATCACTTAACTTGTGAATACAAGTGTGCAGAGGTTGTGTGTGAAATAAATTAAAAAGCTTATTTTAAAACAAATACTGTAAATTTTACCAATATGATCCGTTTGGAACCAAGATAATCCTACTGCACTATGAATATTACAATAATATCAACTCGTTCTTATTGCATTACTTGTTCTGAAACAATTTTCTTCTTTAACTAACTCAATTATAACTATGTCATAATTATAACTATAACATATTATTGCTTCTGAGAGCAAACAGGGCTACTCTTAATTATTTTTCTTTGACTTAATTTAATATTTAATTACAAAAATAGCATATAGAGATAGCTTAATTGGAACAATACAATAGTAAGCTTTGTTTCATATAACAAACTTAATGATTGTTTGAATAAAACCCTTACATAATAAATATTCTTCATGGCTTATGGATTACTGACTGTTCCACATTTTTAATGTTTTTTTTTTTACTTGTAAGTGTTTTACATCTGCTCCTCTCTTATTATTTCAGAATTACTTATTGATCATTAATCACAATTAATTTGTTTGTAATCTTTTAAACATGACTAACCCCTTCCATGGCATTATTAAGAAACACAAATAAAGTTGGACAATTAGGGGTTATAAAGAAAAAACAAGAGTAAAGCTGCTGCATTTTTCATTTGACTTTATTTATCTGACCATTTTCATCACTTGTTGTCATTTTATGGTGAAGATTTAATGTAAGTGATAATAAAATGCATTTTAAACATGACTATAGTGAAATAGTTTGCTTTTATCAAAAAAAGAAACAAGTAATTATTCATTGCAGCATTTAGTTGTAAGTTTGAATGTAGTTTTCTTTTGAAACGCCTGACATGGCTTCATTCTGTAAACATAAACATGCAAAGGATTTTTTTTTGTTGCCATTCTTAAATGTAATTTTAATAGAAAAATATTTCATTATCAACACTTTACCTTTTTATTTTCTCTTTTAGATTCCTCTGTTTGAGATCCATCTGTTCTTTTACTCCACACCCACATACACATATATACAAAGTACATATATATATATATATATATATACACACATAAAGCTGATCAAAACCAGACATTACATTACATTTAAGACATCATTCATGATAGTATATCACCAAGACCAAACCATACTTTGGTATTACTATTATCCATCCATCCATTATTTTTACCCGCTTATTCCATTTTTGGGTCACGGGGGTGGTATTACTAATATTTTAATTAAATAGCACCCATTTACTTTTACACAATAAATGTTTTACAGAAGTACTCTTTAAAGCCTCTTCTTGTTCTGGAATGGCATATTTTTTTTTACATTGCTGTATCAGTAGTTTTACACAGAGGATAAACCTGTTTACTTCCTCTGCCACTGTTGCTTTCAGGCTCAGTGGTACCATCAGGGGGGTGAGCCCTTGGGACGCCCGTGGCTCAGAGGCGATGTGGTGGGTTGCTTGGTGGACATGGCTGACCGCACTATGATGGTCACGCTCAATGGAGAGCTGCTCTTTAATGACAGAGGATCAGAGCTGGCTGCCAAGGACTTTGAGATCAGAGATGGTATGGGAAAGACTTTCATGTTTTTTAAGATCCATCCTTGAATATGAATGACTTCAGTGTGTTTATTTCTGTTTTTACTTTTTAAATTTGATCTCTCCTTGTCTTTTCCAGGCTTGTTGCCTGTAGCTAGTATTGGAGTAAACCAACTGGGAAGGCTGAATCTGGGCCGCCAAGTGGACTCTCTGCAGTACTTTACTGTATGTGGCCTGCAAGAAGGCTTTAAACCTTTTGCCTATAATATGTCTGGAGATCCAACTCTGTGGATGAGCTGGAAACAGGCTCAGTTTACTTCAATACAGCCTGATGATCACAGCCTACAGGTTAGTTCAGTGGTCTGTGGGTTAGCCACTTGGCTAATGTGTATTTTACAAGATGTATTATGATGCGATACTTTTTAGATTGATTAAATTAAAACATTGTTTGGACTTTGTGTTAAATGTAGCTCCTTGGATGCCAAACTCTGATCTTAAAAACAATGTGCAAATCTCCTTCAAGGTTACTAGAGTCAGGGGCTCAGCAGATTTCTTATCCAGCCTGAGGGTGTCTCAGCGGTTGCTGGCTCACCACGGTGGAGGGTGCGAGATGGGTTTTTATCGCCTCAGCATGCCCATTGAATGCGCTGCTGTACTCCGAAGTCCTGCAGAGGCTGTGCTTCCAGTGGCATCCAACTCTGTAACTCCAAGTTCAGGTTTGATGTTATTCCATATTTTCAACTAAAGTACAGAGAGGATGTTTTAGCTTAGGTTGCTTTAAGTTTGACCAGATAGCATTGTATCTAATGCAACACATAAAAAATATTGAGGGGTGAAATACTAGAATTTGTGTATACAGTCTAGCTGCAATTATCCAGATTTATATCCTGTCTAGATTACTGATATTGTGCCATTGTGACCTTGTTGAATTGCTCCAGTTAAGCTCCCCAGGGCCATGCTGTAATTAATGCCCGTTGTGTTTTAGTGAGGAAAGAATCGGAGGACACGGACTCTGACTTTGAAGTTCTGATGAAGTCAGCACACAGTTTTGCTGGCTCAAGAGATGAGCTTAACCACAAGGATCATAGCCATGACAGAACATCAAAACTGAAACAACGGTAGGTTGTAAAGACACTAAAATGAAAAGACGGTAATAAACTGGGTATAATTTGAATAATTAAAACTAGGCACATTGGACTTGGGTTAGGGTTAGGTTCAGCTATTGTTTTGTACATAATGCTCAATAAATAATACATTCAAGAGGATCTAGCAAAACAGGGACCACATATACATTTTTGGCATACACAATATACTACATCCATTAAAATTTAAATGTTATTGGTAAGATCGATATACCTTTTTTCTATGTCCTCTCCCAATTCATTTTTAAACTGAATAGAATGTATTTTGCTGTTGTAGGTGAAGATATATAATAATAATAATAATAAAGAAACCATCATTGGGGCAATTTTTTGACATCAGTGAATAGCAGTAAGCTTATTTTCTGTTGCCAACATAACTTTTAAAAGATAGGTATTATCTTTAATGAAACATTCAAGCATACTGTGTGTCCAAGGAATTGGGATGTGAGAAAGAGAAAAAGCAGGATTTCTGAGATGAATGCTGCTGCATCCCTGCAGAAAGGCTGGTGCTCTCTATTCTCCCTTCAGCAGCATAGCTGAGTCCCATTCTGTTGCCTGTTTCTTTCTTTCACTTCTGCTTTACACAGTCTGTAGTGGCTGGGATCAGAAAAGTTAGGCATCTTACACAAAATACCATTTTTGTTCCTGAAGTATCTCTACATCTGTCTGGTTGCAATGAAGGCAGCATAGTTGTAAAATACGTTTTAGTTGGAGCGAGACAAAAAAGAACAAAAAAAAATAAATGAATGCAGTCAAAGTATAAAAGGTTCAGGCTCACTGTTTTAACACAATTACCTGTCATCTGTGAAGAATAATTGTGCTTTGTCGGAGTTGATTTGTTTCCGTTTGCTGCAAGGTTCTTGCTGAAGAAGACAAAACCAGGCTTAGTCAGCAGCAACTCATCTGCACGGCTTCTTGAAGACGTCATTGTGGAAAAAGACAACTACGATCATCTTATCCAGAGCTCCAGAGTAAGAGATTTGAATTTCTTTTAGTCTAATCTCATCCCAACCATATAATTACACTAAACATGGAAACTGCTAACTAGAACAGTACAATGTTTTTAGCACTGTAGCTGTATTTAGTCATTTTCTAGTTCAAAATGGACAAAAATTTAACAAATTGCAATAGAAATCTTGGACACTTACAGTATTTGACCTATTCATCTACAAAAAACACAGTTTGAATGTCAAACAGTGACATTTATTGACTTCTCTGTTTTAGTTTTACTATTCAGTGAGGGTTCTTCCAGGCCAGGAGCCCCTGAATGTGTGGGTAGGCTGGGTGACCTCTGACTTCCACCAGTACGACATGACATTCGACAGCGACAATGTCGGCACAGTGACTGTCACCCTCGGTGATGAAAGTGGCAAAGTTCAAGATAGGTTTGTCTGCATCAATACTTCAATTTTTCTTATATAGAATACATAGAATGATTGGTATTGATTTACTTTCATGATTACGCTTCTTTTACCTGAGCTACTACGCTGTGAAATTGTTTTTGTTGCACTGCTGAATAGCTTCAGCTTTTGTATGAAACTTTCCAGTCACTCATATATATGTATAATGCTTTCGAAATTCTTTGCGCAGCGTAAAGCGACGCAGCTGTTACATGGTGTGTGCTGGAGAAGCAACAGGCCTGTCTCAGAGTCGACGAAGTGCAGGGCTAGAAATTGGCTGTTTGGTAGACACAGCAACTGGATTGCTCAACTTTACCTCCAATGGCATAGAGATGTTGACTTTCTATCAAGTAAACTATCTTGATATAACTTATTTTCTTCCTCTGTCTCAATCTTTTGATGTATTAAGCCTTTAATTGTATTGTATTACTTGGGAAAACAAGATATTTATGTTTATTTAGTTGATCATTGGTTGCTTGCATTGTTAAACTGACTAAATTATTTTTTTCACCACAAACCAGGTTGAGGCTGGTTCCAAGTTGTTTCCTGCTGTTTTTGTCAAACCCACCACCAATGACATGTTTCAGTTTCACTTAGAGAGTATTAAGGTAATACATTTGATTATTAGTAAAAATTCATCAGTATGTTATTTTCATTTATTGTTCCTATATAAATTTAACCCAAACACTGACTGCACTTTATGGATGTAATATAGTCATTAGTGCATTGAGTCTGTTTCTGTTTACATGTATGCATGTATGTTTTTGTTATTATTGTTTTTTATCATATTGTTTTTGTCATGTTGTCTTTTATCTGTTCTCACGCTGGCTCAGGAAAACACAATTTAATTTCAGTTATTTATACTCATTGATGACAAGAGACTTGCTCTTTAAACTTGAAAGTTTTCTTACTCTCACTTTGGATTATTCTTAGTTTTTCATCATTTAAAAAATGCCAATTTAACAACAACACAATCTATTGACAGAATATTATGATAAATAAGCATATGCAAGATATTAAAAATGGTATTCTTCATGACACCTAAAGTTGCATTTGTTGTCTTGTTCCAGAATGTGATGCCTCTGTCATCAGGTTTGCTTCGCAGTCAAAGAAGGAATCCCAGTCCTCAGTGCCCTCCAAGGATTAAGGTCCAGCATCTTAGACCGGTTTCATGGACCAGAGTACCAGATAGTGGGTTAAAAGTGTTGGTAGATCTACCTGACGAGCACCATGGTTGGAGAATCCAATGTTATGAGCCACAGCAAGTCTTGACCCTTCAGATTCCTGATGAATGCAGGTAAATAGATACAGCAATAATTTTAAATGTGTCATGAAGCTGTGAAACTTGTCCACGGTACTGATGTATTTAATCACTCGTTTCATTGTGATCTGCTATTTATTTATTACAGCAAATGTAAATTAATTCCACTTTTTCCAGGGTTTAATTGGATTTTGTGCAAGCCACAACACTGAACTCGTCTTTGTGATGATATTCACATAGGTGTGTTGACATTTTGGAGCTGTCGGAACTCGATGACCTCCTAACCTTTCACCTGAATACCCTCCTCCTCTACTGCTCGTTATGTGCCCTCGGCAACACCAGAGTTTGCCACGCTGTCTGCAGTCACGTCGACCAGTCGCAGGTTCTTTATGCCATTCAGAATCCTCACCTCCCTGGTCCGATTCGCTCGGCATTTTATCAGCTGCTTATTCAGGTACCAGCTTGTCAGGGCTCAGGTGTTTTATGAATACCACCAGTTGACAGGAAATTAAATATTGTCTGGAAAATTCACAATGTAACACTGATTCTTTTTGGCATTTAGGTTTACCTAAGCGGCTACACCACATCCTGTCTGATGATGAATCATGAGTACATTGTTCCTCTGGCCAAACAGACCAGACAAATCTCTCCGTATCTCAGTTCTGTTGATGGTGGTCTTGATGGGGAGAATGGTCAGCTTCCAGAGGGCATTTCCAGCACAAGTCATAGCTCATCTCTTAAGCCAGAGATGCATTTTTCATCTCCTTGTTTTGTCAGGGGAAATGGGATGGAAGCAGAAGGTGCAGTTGAAATGGCCTGCACTGACAGCCCAGAGATCCCTCTGGACATACTGAAGAACCTAACAGTGGAAATGTTGACTGCTGGAGTTTTGGCTATGAATCAAGCTGTGAGGGATCCTGCTGGAGGCAATGTTGAACTTATGCTTGTTCCTCTTTTAAAATTGTTGTACAGCCTTCTGGTCATGGGTGTTCTTGGAGATGAGGACCTTTGGAAAGTCCTTAGGTTGATTGAACCAAATATGTTCCCTTTAAATGGGGGAACCGTTGAGGAGAAGAAGGAAGAAGAAACTAGTGATGATGAACGAGAAACAGAAAGGTGTGGCATCATTAAACAAGGGCTTCTTCAGATGACGGTTCCAGAAGCTGTCAAACTTGAGGTGAATGAAACGGCAGATTCCTCTAGATGTTCTTCTTTTCCATTCAACGTAATGCCAAAGATGCTTCTTTAGGCCTATAACAAGTATTCACAAGTAACTATGCTTTCCTTTCTAGCTCTGTCATTTGCTATCCTACTTGTGTGATTGCCAAGTTCGCCACAGAGTAGAAGCTGTGGTTGCGTTCTCGGACAACTTTGTGCATCAGCTGCAAGAGAACCAACGTTTTCGTTACGCTCAAGTCATGCAGGCGCTCAACATGTCTGCAGCGCTCACCGCTCGCAAGACAAAGGAGTTCCGCCTACCTCTACAGGAGCAGGTTTGAGTAGACTTTAAACAGCGTTATGAACATTAAATAATTAGAAGAACATGATTAATTTCACATTTTGGCTTGTGCATTTTTACTTGAGCGTTGCATTTTAAAAATATAAGCCAAGAGTTAAACATGCTGAGTCATTGTAGTTCCCAACATACCTTTGGTATTTTATCATATTTTCTATATTTTTTTGTCTAATTATTTTCTTGTCCAAAGATCAATATGCTGCTGGGCTTCAGGGAGGATGAGCAGAAAGAAAACTGTCCATGTCCGGCTGAAATTCAACACCTCCTGCAGGACTTCCATCACCTCCTCAACACACACTGTGGTGGGAGCACTGCTGAGTCTTTTACTGCTAAAAACTATAAAGTAGTTTTTATTAAGCAAGGGCTCTATAAAAACTTTGTGAAGGCACTTAGGGTAATTGCTTTTGAGATGACAAAAATCTTATTTTGCTGCCATTGTACAGGTTCTGAGCTCAACACAGAGTCAGAGGATAAAGACGATACAAAGACTTATTTTAAAGACCAACTTGTCAGTCTTGTAACGGGACTCGTTGGATGTAAAAAGACTTCCAGTGAAACGAAGATGCTTAAATCACACAGTCCTAGTAAGATTGTCTCATTTTTTCTCATGGAATATTCTGTAGGATTCTCTGCTTTTACCATTACTTTTCTCCGACTGGCGTGTCTGCAGGGTCCCTCAAACATTTGATTTCTGAGACGATGGTGCGCTGGGCTCAAGAGAATGAGATAGAAGACTCTGAGTTGGTGAGGGCTATCTTCTCTTTGCTATACCACCAGTATCAGGGCCTCAGGGGACAAATGGAGAAGCCTCTCTCAAAGACTTATACTATCAGCCACTCGTCAGTTGAGGATGCTATGGCACTCTTGTCCTCCTTGGGTCAAATTCGTTCTCTCCTGAGTGTCTGCATGGGGAAAGAAGAAGAGAAGCTAATGATCAAAAGACTTGGGTAGGCGGAGACAATTAGCATTCCTTTTAATCCTATTATTTGTGTTACAAAAGCTTACCTTGCAGTGAAATTATTTTCTATACGTTTTGATCATGTGTACAGAGACATTATGAATAATAAAGTCTTCTACCAACACCCCAACTTAATGAGGACACTGGGAATGCACGAGACTGTAATGGAGGTGATGGTCAATGTTCTGGGAGAAGGAGAGTCAAAGGTGGGTGGTTGCTTCACATTTATAGCAGTTTTTGGATACAATGTAATGCAGGAATCAAGACATTAACCCTTAATTGTGAATATTAGGTGCTTTACTTCTGCATACCTGCATTTTCTTCTCTTAGGAGATTACCTTTCCAAAGATGGTAGCAAGCTGCTGTCGATTCCTGTGTTATTTTTGCCGCATCAGTTGTCACAATCAAGGAGCGCTTTTTGACCACCTCAGCTATTTGTTAGAGAACAGCAGTGTTGGACTAGGTAAATTCGGTGTCTTCACTGATTAGTGTTCATTTTTAAGATGTGACATTAGGCATGGGTTAAATCAGCGTTTACATCGTTTTATGCCTTTTGTCTCAGCTTTACCATCCATGCGTGGCTCCACTCCTCTTGATGTAGCAGCAGCCTCCGTTATGGATAATAATGAACTGGCTTTATCTCTGAGGGAACCTGACATAGAGAAGGTTTGAGATTTTATTTCAGCATAAATCTTGGAAGAAAAAAAAAAGGAACAATTTTTACATACACAAGTAGCTTTTGCAAGTTTGCAGCATTTTGAAGTTGCTCAAGGTGACACATACCAACTCAAAGTGCTTACTGTTAGATTTTGTGTTCATGTAATCTGTTGTATCCAGGTGGTTCAGTACCTTGCTGGATGTGGTCTCCAGAGCTGTTCACTGCTGTTGGCAAAAGGCTACGCTGATATTGGATGGAACCCTGTGGAGGGAGAACGTTATCTGAATTTTCTACGTTTTGCTGTCTTTTGCAACGGTTAGATTTACATAATCATTTGAAAGGATTTTAAAAAGTGTGTTTTGCTCTTCTGTGTATAATTTAGTAAAAACAAGACAATTTCTGACAGGTTCTGCAATTCCAGTTACATGATTGAATTTGATATACAGTAGTCCCTCACTTATCATGGGAGTTACGTTCCAGACACCCCCGCGATGGGTGAAAAATCTGCCAAATAGGGTCGTTATATTTATTTTAGTACTGTATATATATATATATATATATATATATATATATATATATATATATATATATATATATGTGTGTGTGTGTGTGTATATGTATAAAAGGCTTTATTAACCCTTTCCGCACTCTTGCAATGTTCTTAACAATATTCAAAACTCTAAATGCTCTAAAAGAACACAGCGAAAAAGAGCAGACAGACTGATGCTACAGTTACTGAGCCAAACAGCGTCTGGGGGCAGACTGGCCATTGGGAGCGCCGGGACATTTCTCAGTTCGGGTCAGGTCAGCTCGGTTCGCGTTCGATTATTTTAAATAAACAATCCATACCGCTCACTCTGGTATCCACCTCACTGAAGCTTCCACAGCAGCAATGGGGAAAGACAGACCCCACCCCCTGTCCCCTCCTTTCTCTTTCTGAGGGTGACATCCTCAGAAAGAGAAAAGAGGGGGACCCTTGGCAATCACTGAGCAGGCCAGGCCACCAGGAAACAATGTGTATAATCTTATGTTGAAAACCAACGAAAGAATGAGTATGCGAAAGTCGAACCGTGAAATATCGAGGGACTACTGTAGCTTGTTTAAATTATATTTAAATCTAACTTTGTATTTAGACAGTGCTCTCAGTTACCTACATTTATTTTTAAATAAAAAAATGACATTCTTCTCATTTTTATTTTTTCTATTTTTGCATTTGAATACACATGCAATCTCAATATTTGCCATGGTGCTCCGAGTCAATGTCACTGCTGGAAAGGGACAATTAGCTGCATCATTTCATGTTCTTTTCCATTACTTTTCTATTCCATTCTTCTATTGATTATATTTCTTCTAAAGCTAAAAGGAATCGCCTTGAGGTTGTTTATAGTTCAGTCGAATGAATTTGGCTCTCTGTGCAGCATGTGTCTCAGGAATTCATTTTCACCTCCTGTCTATGTTGTGCCATTTAATCAAGATGTGACTGGGTTTGATCTTCTTGGCATTTTTAATCATTCAGTTTATTGCCAAATAATTTCAATGGATTTAAGCTGAGCTATTAATTCCAGTGCTCATGGACTCTTTTTGTGCACTCCTTGACTGCAGGTGAGTGCGTGGAGGAGAATGCTTATGTGGTGTTGAGGTTGTTGATTCGTCGGCCTGAATGTTTCGGACCTGCACTCAGAGGGGATGGGGGAAATGGACTCCTTTCAGCCATGAAGGAAGCCATCAGAATCTCAGAGGACCCTTCAATGGATGGACCTTTCTCCACTCATCAGTGCAACAAAGCACTGTCAGTAATGAATAAAAGCCTAAACCAAAATGTGTCATTTTCAGTTCATGTTTTAATACTATCACATACTCGTGAAAATCCATCTAAAAGAACAAACTCAGCTTTGTAAAACAATATATTGTCTCTTCTAAAAACCATTTGGCTCTTATGATCGATTCTTGTAACAGAGATGCTATTCAGGGGAGCAATGATGACTGTATTCACATGGGACATGCCATCATGACCTTCTACTCAGCCCTTATTGACTTGCTGGGGCGCTGCGCTCCAGAGATGCACGTAAGCGATGTTTTTTAAATTCCTCATCATTAGAAATTCTAACAAAGCAACCTTTATTTTTGGCATATATCTTTCTGCTGCCACACAGAGTATGTTCTCAAAAGTGGCATACATCAAAAGATATTTTGTGAAAAACTTGACAAAATTTATTTTTGTTTGAACATTAAGATAGTAAATGTTAATGAACAAGATGGACCATAACTCCTTTCTGTTCATAAAGATAAGCTGAACTTTATGTGCCAGTTCCTCTGTAATTCATTGTTTCTGTAAAACATGAAGTGGTCTAACAGATGCTATCTATTATGAATTGTTCTCCAGTTAATTCAAGCAGGCAAAGGAGAAGCCATCCGCATCAGGGCTATTTTGAGGTCACTCATCCCTATTCAGGATCTTGATGGAGTCATCAGCATCTCATTTCAGCTCCCATCAGTATCTGAAGGTAAAATTGACTAAATCAACTCATCTCACTGTCCAAAGACATTACCTGCATTGGCTTTTTGTTGTCATTAAACATTAAAGCTTCAATTTCACACTTATTTTAGCCACAAATGTTCCAGTCAGGCTGAGTCATACACAAACTATGAGAAGTCTAAATCAGGTGTACAAGAATCTGCATTATGATTTATTGAGAGCTTGATCAGGAGATCTAATCTTTCCATTTTTTGTGTAGATGGTTCGATGGTTGAGCCAGTCCTATCTACAGTGTTCTGCCCAGACCATAAAGCTGCCATGGTTTTGTTCCTGGATCGAGTTTATGGCATAGAGGACCAGAGTTTTCTTCTCCACCTTGTAGAAGTTGGCTTCCTGCCTGACCTTCAGGCTGCTGTCTCTCTTGACACCGTGAGCCTTTTTGCTGCCCTTTACATTTGTTCAGTGGGTTTAGCGTAAGATTAGGGGTATGATTATAATGAAAGGTCTTCCTCTAGGCCCTCCTTAACTCAACTATATAAAAAATAGCTCTAACTGTTGAAAAATCTTCCTAATGACTGGAGTTACTACAAAATGACACATTAGATTTGGTTTGTGCAAAGCTAAATGTCTAATATTATTATAATAAAATAGTTACAAAACATTTATTATTTTTTTTCTAAACATAGTATGCATTGTGCTTGATTTTATGTGGAAACCGCATCACCAAAATTAATTTAAATTTTTTTTTTTTACTGTTTCATTTTATTTGAAGTTGAGATGTTTACATTTATTTAAATTAGTTTAAAGTTAACCTCGTTTCATTTTTTAATATTGCAGGCTGAGCTGGGATCCACGGATATGGCCTTGGCCCTCAACAGATACTTGTGTACTGCTGTTCTTCCCCTGCTCACGAAATGTTTGGCTCTCTTTAACAATTTGGAGGACCATATTCTCCTGGTTGACTCTCTCATTCAGGCAGTTTATCAGCTCTCAAGAGCGCTCAGCTTGACCAAGGCTCAGAGAGACACTGCCGAGGACTGTTTGCTGGCTCTGTGCAGGTAGGACTGTAGCTACAAGCAAATAAAAACTGCGCAAGTTGTAGAGCATCAAATTACAAATTATCGTATTTTCTGGCCTATAAGTCACAACTTTTTGCCTAATTTGCAGACCCTGCGACTTATATGCTGAAGCAACCTTTTTGTGGATTTTTTCCCATATTTATAACCTAATTTTTGGCTGAGCTATGACCGTTTTCATTCATTCCGACATTGAAAATATTGAACACTACCATTTTCAGCCGCTAGATGGCACTCGAGTAGTATGGCATGCTGTTGTGTCATGTAATAGGTAAAAGTGGCTATTAATGACAATCAGATTGCCAGTGTATCACCTTCATCCAGCTCACCTGGAGCAACCATAAAATCAGCTTAATTTTGCTGTGCCACCCTGGCAAAATGCAGCTAATTTGACCATTGAAGCGCATTTATTAAGTAAAAGTTAGACAGCGACACACCTTTACTATAATGTCGAGCAAACAAATTGTTTTTAGGTGCTTATCTTGTTAAATTTCAAAGAAATGTGCAGCGTTCCTCCTTCCTGATTTCCTCCCTCTGTGTGTTCCCAGAACACAGAGGCAGCAAATACTTTTGAAATGCAGTTGATTTGACAGTCAAAGTGGATTTATTAAGGAAAAGTTCAATTGAGACACACCTTTACTATAAAGTCGAGCAAACAAATTGTTTTTAGGTGCTTATCTTGTTAAATTTCGAAGAAATGCACAGTGGCTCATCCCTCTGAGCGCTCCTGCATCAGCGAATTGGCTTTTGAAATGCAGCTGTTTTGACCATCAAAGTGCGTTTATTAAGGAAAAGTTAGACTGAGACACAACTTTGCTGTAATTTCAAGCAAACAGATAATTGTTTTTAAGTATTAATCTTGTTAAATTCTTGTTAAAGTCCTCCCATGCATGCTCCCGTGGCCTCCGTTTGGCAGCCAATCGATTTTTGGCACAACAACGGCCCACATTTCTGGGTTGTCAGCAGTGACGCGTAACAAACGTGACACGTCAGCGGTGACATTTAATAGGTGCAACTTATATGGCGAAGCAACTTATTTATGGATTTTTCCAAATTATTAGACATTTTTGGACAGGTGTGACTTATAGGCTGGAAAATACAGTACTTGAAGGGCCAGCTCTTATGTCATATTAGGAAGGTTGTAAGTGGCTGTTGTGTTTAAAATTAGTGTTTATGTAATTATTTTCAGTTTACATATCCAATATAACTTTTATTTGTTTAAGGCAGTCATATTTGTTCAGAACTTTATTATTAAGTCTGAGAGTTATTGGATCCAAGCAAACAGTTACCGGAACACACCCTGTCAAAATAAGAGAGTTCACGGATCCTGTTCCGGCAGGATCCGGCTCAAATTAAGCACCGACTATGTCACACCAGTGGGGTGAGCTCACATTCATCTCAAGTTTTTCAACATTTTCAAGAGCAATTCTGAAAACAAACAAAAAAGAGTTTGTTCACTTCAAAACTTTTAAGCAAATTAACATTTTACACTAGCTTTAAAGAGTTATACTCTTTGCTCCAAAATCATTGATTCCAAAATGCCATTACATTCAATCTTAATTAATATCATTTTGCAGATTAATACAGAGTATAATCAGATAATCTACATACAACAGTATGTAGTTATCTCCAGTCATTATGCATTTTTAATTACAGGCTTATGCTTTTTCAATGATTTATCAAATTCATTAAATCTTTGCCAAATTGCTACACTCCTCTTTCCTCCAGTCACGCAGACACTCAACCATAAAACTGCTCATTATATTTAATTAGCTACTGTAAAGTCTGTTTTTTCTATTTCAGACATAATTTGCTAAATTTAATCAACATGTTAAGTTAATTAACTTCTTGGCCATTTAAATTATCCTTGATACTATTCATTGAAGGGGTAATTAGTCAAAACACTGTTCCCTCTGTATACAAATTTGTGTAAATATTGTGATGGATGTGTAATTAATTTGTGTAACTATTTTTTCCTGATTTGATGTTTCCAGTAAACTCCAGCCATCTATGTTGCAACCTCTCCTTCAACAACTTGTTTTTGATGTTCTCCATCTCACCGACAACAGCAAAACGCCTCTAAAAGTGAAAACACAAAATATAATTCACTGAAGTTAATGCTGAAGTACATTAGTAGCACATGGCTTCTTATATATTTATTACTGCTTCTGTTTCCCAGCTCTTAACCAATCATTATGAGCAGAGGTGGAAGTATTACTCCCACGCTGGCAGGGAGGATGACCAGAGTTTGGCCTCTGTAGAAGAACTCCACCTGTCTAGAAAGTTATTTTGGGGTGTATTTAAAGCATTGGCAAATAAGGTAACCCAAACCCAAGACATCTGTTTTTTTGATAAGAAAAATAAAAATACTTTTACAGAAAACAAAACATTTGCAGAAAACACTGTTCAGCACCTTATCAGCTCTTTTTTCTTTGTGTGGATCTATTTAAGGACAAACAGTAAAGTGAATTTCTAATGTCTTCTGCTGTATTACAAAACCACAAGTGGAGCAAGGAGTAACACCCCGGAGTTCAATTGTTAATTATTCATATCATGCTATGAAACCTCCTAAAACTTAAACAGACTTAATGGAGACCATGTTGGAGGACTTGAAGTCAATAAATAAAATATATCTTCTTTGGATTCACTGTAAGCACATATAGAAGAATATATAATGAAAGTACAGAAGAATATAATAAAGAGATTCATTACCCCTTAATAGCTTAAATGGTCTTTCAGTATTTTTCTGCATTTCTTACATTTGTGATATTAACTGTATATAAGGTGAAAATGTGGCCAGACTTAAATGCTTAGATGAAAAATTGTCACAGAAGGCTGGTGCTGGTGAACCCAGTGGTGCAGGCAAGCAGGTGAGGACGCAGGATAATGTAAAATAAATAATTTATTAACAAAGCAAAAGAGATGACAGGGCAGCAAAATAAACATGGATGAACAGGAGGTACTTCCATAACAGACATAGCATCACCAGTGGACATAAGACAATGCCAGGACAATGACACAGATTTATATACAGGAAACACCAATTAGACCAAGTGAAGTCACCTGTGAGTAATCACAGATGCCAGAGAAAGAGACAGAGGATGCAAGACATGAACACGACACAAGATGGGGCTAGATACTAAAGAAACGCAAACCCTATAAAGAGAAACAGAGGAGCGGGGGAACACAGACAAACACAACACCAGGGACAAAACCACAACTCCTACAAAAATATCTTCCTAAAACCAAATGGACTGTGGATACAACACTCAGAGTTTCAACTCCTACATTCTGGTAAAATTATTAGTGCCGATTTGATCTGACTTGATATTTTAAACATTATGTATTAAGAACAGATTTCATATAAGGTAAGGAATTTACAACATAGTTTAACTCAGAGAAAAGGTTGGTCTTTTTCAGAACATGTGCATTTGACAGCTTTAACCAAGGAAGGTAATTTTGCAAAAAATGTTTGAAATGACTGGGTTGATGAATATGATTTATAGGAACTGATTTCTTTGGGTAACTAAAGTTACTGAGATGGATAAATAGCAGGAGAATTATGTTTGTTTCATTTGGGGTAGAGCTTTCTTTTTAATGGGGTTTTGCATTCATTTGCCAGTTTTGCAATAAAATACTTGGATCAAAGAGTCGATGTAGAAATGTGATAGCTGACTAGCTTCTTGTGTTTGTTTTTGTGTAACCAGGTTACTGCAGTCAAAATAGGATCACATCTCTCGCCTTACTTTTTGTGAAATTAGATTTCTTGTGTATTAGTCCCAAAAATATGCATCACATTTTTTTCCCAGTTCTCCATGTAGAACAAGTATTAAAATAAGTTAGCCTGTAAAGATTATATATTCTTTATGTTTTTAGTGATTAAAACATGTCAACAAGTCTTCAATTAAACTTTTCTTATTTTCTTATTTCCTTCCTAAACTTTGAAGCCCTATGTTCCTGAGTTCTTCAAGTTGTGTCTTCAGTGCCTGGTTGCAGTAGCCATAGCTTTGCCTCCTGAACACATGGAGTCTGAGTATTTGGCTCAAAAGGACAGAAAAACTTCAGTGGACACAGATGGACACTTTGACCCCCAGCCTGTAGATTCATCCAAGTAAGATACTAACCATAACAATCTCATATCTTGTTCTTTTTGGCAACACTGTGTCCCGTTTAGGACATAGTGCGAGTCGTGAGATATGAATTTTTTTTTATACCTTCCCTCCCCTCGTGTTTCTCTTTTTTTAAAAATCTAAAAGAAAAGGGCATCGCCTCCAGAAGGCCGCGACCTCAGACACCTCTGTCTCCCCATGTCTGTTTGTTTATGTTTTCTCGGTCGGGCTGTACTAAAATGTAATTTCGTTGTGCTTCGGTGCAATGACAATAAAGCTGATTCTGATTTTTTAAAGAAACTCATATCAGTTTTCAGAAATCTACTTTGTATAATTAACTATAGTTAAAGTGAATATTAATGTGCTACTGTAATCAAACTCGCTTCTCTAATATAAAGTTAAACACTCTGTTATTTCTTTCCTTTTATTAGTGTTTCCGTACCTGAGAGACTGGAGTTTGTGGTGAACAAGTATGCAGAGCATACTCATGACAAGTGGTCTCTAGACAAGGTATAATCTTAATAACTATTCTTTGCAACTGGATAGCTTGTAAGGATATAAATGAGTTGCTAAAAAGGCTTTCCATTTCTCTGCTGTCACAACACTGACACACGTTGTGCAGAATGTTGTACAGGGTATTTAGTGAACCTGTGTGTATTATTCATGACAGTTTGCCAACGGCTGGGTTCATGGGGAGCAGCTATGCGAGAACTCCAAAGTTCACCCCCTCCTGAAGCCATACAGAGCTCTGGCTGAGAAGGTAAACTGTGGTCACCTTTAGGTGTGTGTGTGTAAGTGCAGAAATGTACTTCAGTAAAGAAAGCAGTGAACTGACGTATCCCTAAGGGATTTGCATACTAAACAGGGAGTTGGTAATATAAAATATTAAAATGATGTGCTTCATGGTTCTTGAATTTTTACCCCCCTGCCTTCATTACAAACATGACAAGAAGGCAACACATTTTGTACCAACCGATTTGAATATCAAAATAGTTTGTGTTTTGCTCTTTTACTCAAGTGTGTATTTTTCTGAGTTTTTGTTTGCTGTGTATTAAACAGGAAAAGGAGGCATATCGCTGGGCCATCAGAGAGACAGTGAAGAGTATGTTAGCCTTTGGCTGGACCATAGAAAGGACCAAAGAAGGAGATGCATTTGGCATTCTGGCCTGTGCTCGCAGGGTATCACAGTCTGGTCAGGTGTGTTTCACTGAGCACAATCAGCTTGCTGCCTTAGCCTCTCAGCTGTGATTATGTTAGAACTAAAAGCAATCAGATTCATTCTAAAAGGCAAAAATTGCTTCAAATAACCTGCAGCATCTTGTCTGTCTTAGCTGTCCTTTGAAGGAGCATCAACTTTTAGCCCCAAACCTTTGGACATGAGCTGTATCACATTATCTTGGGACCAATGTGTGAGTTTTAATAATGGTATTTGCCCTTTATTTGAGATTAAAAGTGTCTACCGCTTACATTTAATTTCAGGATTTGCAGATGTGGTGATATTTACCTTGTTTAAAGTTTGTTTTGTGTGAAAATATATTTACACTGCATAGTGTACTTCTGAATAATTAAACTGATTTTGTCGTCTTCAGGCCATGGCTGAACAGTTGGCTGAGAATTACCACAATATCTGGGCTAAAACTAAGAAACTAGAAATTGAGAGTAAAGGTACAATAGTGTAGTAAATCTTTCTAATATTTTCTTCTCTCAGAAATTACACACAAAATCTCCATGCTTTGAATGCATTTATTTTCTCAGGAGGGGGAGACCATTCAATGCTTGTACCCTTTGATGCCCTGACTGCCAAGGAGAAAACCCAGTTCAGAGAAAAAGCCCAGGATATCCTCAAGTTTGTTCTGCTCAATGGTTACAGCGTGTGGAGGTAAGCACTGTACAGGACTAATGCATGGCAGGAAAAGGAAACATGAAAATGTATAATTCTAGTGGAAAACCATGAAGTCTTCCTGTTTAATGAAACAATAATAATTCTCTCCCAACATACAACATGATTTAACACAGCAGCCTTAATAGCAATCAAATTCACACGTTGTCTTCCCACCTCCCTCCTGTACAGGTTGCACATTATTTAAATCACTTCCCTGACATAAAATAAATATATTGTTCTCACTGTGCAACACTGCAGTCAAATTCTAAATATAAAATTTTGCTATAGAAAAACTGGTTTAAATTACACACATTAGTGCAACGGGCATACTTCTGATTCTGTTTGATTGCACCCCTGCAGGGATCGAAAGACTCTTGAAACGGACTTTCTAGCAAAGGGCAAAAGCTTTGGATACATTTTCCTTCAGCGAATGTTGTTTCACACCGAGGAGACCCAAGAGAATATGTTAAACCTGGGTAATTTATATATGTGTGCAAAATAAATAAAGTAAGAATCTTTTTTCATGTTTATAACTAAGGTATGACTACTGTGTGTTGTGGTTTTGAACATATGGGGCGTTGTAGTGGACCCTGAATCATTAATAAATACGAAAACTATATCTCAAGTTCACATTCAAGAAGTTTGCTTTAGGATAGTTTTTATTTATGCACTTTAGGTCAGGTGTGGTTATGTCAATCTGTTTATTGTAGATAATATTAATTTAGTTCAGTTCAGTTTATTTGTATAGTGCCAAGTCACAACAGAAATTGTCTCAGGGCACTGAACAAAAACATTCACATACATAAAAAAGCCAATTATTAAAAGTTATTTATCTAATTTAAGCCAGCAGATTGTGTTGAATCTGCACTTCATCACAGTCTCCCATCCTGAGCAAGCACAAAGGCAACAGTGGAAAGGAAAAAAACTCCCTTTTAACAGGAAGAAACCTCCAGCAGAACCAGGTGCAGGATGAGCATCCATCTGCTTCAACTGGCTGGGTTTGAGAGGACAGGAAGTAGAAACAAACAAACAAACAAACACAGAACAGCAGGTCCAGGTGTAAACCCCCCCCCCCCCCCCCCCTTGGAAGAAAGACAAAAAAATGTTAAGAATGTAATTGCAAATACAAAACAGGTAGAGTAGAGCAAGTAAAGACAGCAGCAGAGTGAGAAAATGTGACCAATTTGTCCCTATAGCTGCATAACTAAGGGATAGCTCAGGAAACCCAAGCCAACCCAAACTATAGGATTTATCAAAAAGGAACGACTTGAGCCTAAAATTAGACACGGTGTCAGCCTCACGGACAGGAACTGGAAGTTGGCTCCACAATAGAGGAGCCTGATAACTGATGGTTCTTCCTCCCATTCTGCTTTTGGAAACTCTAGGAACCACAAATAAACCTGCAGTCTGAGACCGAAGTGCTCTGTTAGAAAAATATGGAACAATAAGATCTGTAATATAAGATGGAGCTAGGTTAATGAGATCATTACAGATACATACTTTAATTTGACTGTAGGGTATATTAACCTGTATTTGGAAAGTTTTATCCTGATCGTGTTGAGTGAATTTATCATCTTGTGTTTCCTTTCAGAGGTGATTCAAGCCAGACGACAAATGTCTAAAGGAGAGAGGGCTCCAGACATTCAACCAATAATTTTTTTTCAGAAGGTTTGAGTTATCTCAAAATCACATCTAAACCTATTCAGTCTTCCATGTGATAAAAAAAATTCTGACATTGATTTAGCCCACTTCCAATTTCATTTTCCAATGGCCTTTTATTTTTTCTTATTAGCTTTTTTTCCTCGTGTCATTTATGACATCTAATTAGTTTTGTTAGACGGTTGCCATGGGCAATCCCTATAAGCCAAAGCCTTTGTGGCCATGTAATTTATTTAACCATTTCGGAAATCCATGTGGGCGTTTCGATTGCCATCAGGACAGAGATTAAAGCCTCCCACGCTGCTCTGCCTCCAAGGAGGCAGCAAAAAAAAGGGGTTATTTTTCATTGATGGGACCCCCCTGGGACAGACCCATTCAGCCAAGACTGTGAACAGTCATGCCTCACATTTCTACACACCCACTCTTCCTACTTAACCACTCTCACATGCAGACAAACAAGTCTAATTCTGGCTGCTTGTCAGTTCATTTATCTGCTGCTTCATGGCGTAACGTCAAAGTTCTGCCTTAAACAAGCATCAGCTGTTGACTTCTTTATTCAATATTTTCTGAAAACTTATGATTGAATTGCATTTGCTTTCTGAGCTGTAAAGATTTAGTGCATTGGTGAAGTGATAATATGAATTCTGGTTGATGGTTTTCTCAGCTGGCATTGCTGCTTTTTTGAAGCAGAAGGGCAAGCAAGTATACAATTACACGTTAAAAGCTGATCAGAAAATAAAATCTTAAAAAGGTAATGTTATTGTCACGTTGGTTTAAAAAGTAACCATTGGTTATTACAAGTACTCTTTTTTTTCCCCCCCATAGATTGTACTTCCTGTTTTGGAGCAATATGTCAAAAGCCATCAGCTGTATTTCTTGTCTACTTCTGCTTGCTCAAGTGATAGAAGCTGTGCCTCAAAAAAAGAAAAGGAGATGATCATTTGGTGTGTAAGACCTAAAAAAACTATAAGAAAATTTTCCTATCATATTTTGTATAAAGTCCATTCTTTTCTGTTCTTTGATTTGGTGTACTAAAGTAACATTAATTTTCATTTTATCCCATCCCTTGTTCACATCTAGTCTCTTTTGTAAGCTTGCAGCTTTAGTACGACACAGGATCTCATTAATTGGTAAGGACTTTATTAAAATAAACTTCATTCAGGCATTATTGTGTTCCACTGTTTTCCCTTGTTTGGTTCATGCTTGTTGGCTTTTAGTTGCTCATAAACGGGTTCACCAACATGCACGCTTTTTTAAAGCTGCAAGTTCATCTGACTTATGCTTTTTAATGTGGTTGCATTTGTTCTGTTTTTCTGTGCATTTCCACTCATAACTTGAATGTAATGGCACATGTTTTCTCAGGAAACGAAGCCTCCGAAGTTAAAAGCTGCCTCTGCGTTCTGACTCAGGCTCTTAATGCCAGGTAGCTAGATGGCACTCCTGTCACACTGCCTGACTTGATCTTCTCGCTTTGCCTTTTGCCTTATTAGTGTTGCACCGCCGTGTCTAAGGATGGGATGTCTGGTGTAATTAAGCATCCGATACACTGATGCTATCTAATTGTGATAGATATCACATTCATTCCCTGCAGACAATGCCTCTGAAGCATGACATTTGAACAATGTTTGGACCAACAGAGACTGATGTTGTTAAGACTTGTCTGATGAACAGACTTGAAACTCTTTTCGTTTGTTTGCTTGGTTTGATTATAGCCAACCAAACCAATCTTAGCATGAAAATAATATTGTTTAACAATTTACATTTTTGTACAGAGTAAATCAATTTTTTTACATAATGCTACATCTAGAACATTCCTCCCAAGTCATTTGTTTCTATCTCATCCTAGAATATTGACATCATCAGCCTCAGAATCTATCCAGACTTCCCTGAATTCATTCTTTGAGGCAGCCGCGGTTGATTTGGAGATAACTGTGGAACAGGTCTCAGAAACCTCACCTCTGAGTCGAAGCCAGTTGACTCGAGGCGTGTCCAAAGTTCCTAACTACACAGCCTCCATTCTTCTACCCATGCTCACGTCCTTCTTCCATCATCTCTGTAACCAAGCCTGTGGAGTGGACTTTCTGGGTAAGGTTCACAAGCTACGTTTGTGGTGCTCTTGGTAAAGAAATGACTCTTAGTACCACGTAATATTACATCACAACTGAAAACACTTTAGTAGTTCCAAATGTAGCTTGTTCAAAGATTTTCAATAACGTTGACATCATGGCATTGTAAACTCATTTTGAGTTTGCAGTAGTCTCATTGGTTAACCTTTGTGCACCAAGGTGTGGAATGAACAGTTGGTTTCTGCACTTTTGAAATCAGTTGTGGACCTTCCACATGACTAAAATATTTTATGTGGACACAGCAGCAGGAGCTTGTTGACTATTCCAGTAACACCTCGACCCTTGAAATCATCCATCACTTAAATCGTCAGGCGTTCGGCTCAGTGTTCTTGAATATTCATCATCTGTTTCCAGTTGGCAGAATCCAGGTGTCCTGTTACAGGATCCTGAACAGCCTTTACTCTCTTGGAACCAGCAGCAGCAGCAGCAGCTCACTGGAGGGGTACTGTTTACATTGCAATGCTATTACTGAGAAAATGCTGATATACCTGTAGTCATTTTTTTCTTGTCTTGCTTTATATAATTTAAAATCTTACTTTTAAAGAGAGTTTGAACCAGTAAAGGTATCTCTTTAAACATCAAATACAATACCATACCATACCACTTTATTTATAGAGCACTTAAAACCAGTGTTGGGAATGTTACTTTTAAAAAGTAATTAATTATAGTTACTAGTTACTTCTCCCAAAAAGTAACTGAGTTAGTAACTGAATTACTCCCCTATAAAAGTAATTAGTTACCAGGGAAAGTAACTAAAGTAACTATTGTTTGTTTGTTTGGTTTAAGTTGAGATATATCTACGAATTTAAAGTAGAATTGCAAAGACAAGTACTTAACACAAAACTTTTAATACTTACTGCACCTCAACAGAACATGACTGGTTGACATACTATACTTCAAGTTTTTTCTTCATTACAAAAATACAGTTTAACAAAATAACATAACAATTGTGTTTTTAGCTTTATGTACACACTGTACTGTTCAAGTGTTTTCTTAGAAATAAAAGTAAACAGTTAAAATAAGTGTTTTAACTCTGTAGTGTAAAATAAAATCAAACCCTCACACAACTGGTTCTTCAAGTATTTTCTTAAAAACAAAATAACCATTTTAACAATACGAAGTACTTTTAAAACAGTACTGAAAATCTGAATTACCTGAACAAACCCAACATTAGCTACTAAACTATCCATGCATAGATGGATTCATTTATCCACTCAGTCAACCCAGTCATCTGCTGACCATCTTACCCCTTAAACCAGTGATTGTATCTTAGAAGTAGAAGCCTTTCAAACTTCTGGTCAGAAAGTCTGTTCCTCTTTGGAGTGAAGACAAGCTTCCCTAAGCTAAACAGTCTTTCCACAGGGGCACTAGATGGAGTGGCTGCATTGTATTTGAGTGAAATTTTCTTTACAAGTGGAAATCCATTAAGACTGTCCATCCCTTGTGCTCCTGATTTGAAATAATCAGCAACTTGGCTTTCAGCAGTAGCAGAGGTGTCATCCTCATCCTCAAAGGAGAAGAACTCATCCTCCATGGCTGACTCAGTGCATGCTGGTGTGATGGTAGTACCTGTTCGCTGGTCTTCATTTTGAGCACTTTTCCGGCACTCTGCTAGCAGACTTGCCTTGGCCTTGTCCTTCCTGTCCTGCATCCGCAGCCAACGTAGTTTAAACTTGGGCAGAGTCACAGCAGCCAAGACGGCATTCTCACTTTCCAGCACCTCTGCAAATCTTGTTTTGATAGCCTGCAATGATATACAAAGTAAATATTATACTGACTATCCATACACACACACACACACAGCATTACACATTGTAAGTTTACAAATATATTTAATTTTACATTGTATCTTTTCATTATGTGTTTAAAAATATATATTAGTTCTTACTGTAACAATTGCCTCTGGAAGGTCAACGAGGATTTGCAGACCACTCTTCAGGTCCAGGGTCTTCAACATCAATGTCTCCAGTGTGGGTAGGAGTGTGCCATGGAAACAGTTGTCTTCTCCCTGAAGTATGTCTAAGGCTACTGTTAGTGGCTTCATTACCATACAGTATTCCTTGAGGAACTGATGCTCCCGTTCTGTGATGGCTTTCAAAACAAACTCGGAAGAGATGGTGTTCAGTGCAACTATAGGGATCTCACAGATGCGAGCAAGGGCATCATAAAACGAGTTCCATCTTGTACTGCAAGGGACTAGCAGCTTCCTTGCGATTACATCATCAACAGTCTCTGCAGCCACAGTTGAACGGCTAGCCTTGTTCCATAAAGCTGTGCATTTGGTTGTAGCACTCCTGTATATTGCTTTTGTTTCTGGTCTTGACAGTATCCACTTGTCAACATCAGTACATGAAACAAGGTTTAAAGTGTGTGATGCACATCTCTGATGTGGTGGCAAAGTAATTACATCATCATTATCATCATCACCAACACTGTTTTGCAAGACATCATTAATGTTCACAAATGTCACCTCATCTTCATCATCATCAGACTCCTCATCCTCCACAGGCTGGTACTTCTTGAAGGCTTTGACAAAATTAGAGCCATTATCCGTGACAGTTGATGTTATTTTGTGGGTTATGCCATAGAATGAGTGAATGTTGTCAAGCTCAGTTGCAATACTGTCATGTGTATGACGACCTTTAAATCGTCTGCATGCCAGGGCTGCTTTTCTTCGTTCCATGCTTTGTGGATGTATCCAGTGGGCAGTTACGCCAAGATAACTTTTATTATGTGCAGTCCAAATGTCTGCAGTAGTAGAGACATATTCTAATTCTTCAAATCCAGTCTTCAGCTCGGCATTCATTTTAGCGTACTCAGCATCTATGTATTTAGAAAATGTCTTTCTGCATGGAGGACCGACGCCTGCTCTCCCCGGTATTTTGCCAATAAGGGTTCAGAATGAGTCTGAGTCAACTGTTGATAATGGGAGCATGTTTTCAACAACATACCTGCCTATCAATCGGTTTAGTTCATTCTGCGTCACAAGTTTCTGTGAAGCTGGAGCAAAAAAATCCACCTTTAACTGCTTGGACGGCGTAGCTCCGCGTTCTTCTTCGTTAGCAGAGCTCACGTTAGCCACACCTGGTCTGCTATCATCATCAGTACTGTCAACAGCAGTGTTTTTAGCCACGAGTTTTGTTGAACCATGTGCAGTTGTGAGATGCTTCATCAGATTAGAGTTGCTTACGACGGACGTAGACAAACACTTCGCTCCGGGACATAATGTACACTTCACACTCACGTTCTTGCCTTTTACCTCAAGGAGAGTAAAGTAGTGTCTGTATTTCCACTTTGAAAATGCCAGCTTTCCCTCCGGACTCGCCATTGCTGCAGGACTTCTGCTAACTTTTCAGATTTGGAGCTGCAGCGTGTGGTTTGCGAGTGAACTGAACAACAAAACCTCTGATTGGCTTACCTCTCTTTACCTGTTACTCTACCTTAGCCAATCATCATCATCCTTTATATGATTGTTTCACCCCTCCCTCCTACCCTCACCAAGGAAAAAAAAGTAAACAAACAGCTTACGACAAAATAACGTACCCCATTTAGTGGTTGTAACGGTAACGGCGTTGTAACGATAGACATAGTAACGACTTAGAGTACCCGTTAATGAAAAAAATAACGCCGTTTGTAACGCCGTTTATTTGAACTCCGTTATTCCCATCACTGCTTAAAACAGCTACAAGGCCAACCAAAGTGCTGTACAGACAAAACAACAGGTAACACACAAAGCAAAATACAAAATGAGGTAAATCAGGATATAGACATAGAAACGATGCAGATAATGACGACAAAGCAGTGTGGAGCATACAGGATCAAAATACAGATCGTCTGGTGTTGAAAGCCACCGAATAGTAGTGGGTTTTTAAACGAGACTTGAAAACCGAGAGGGAGGGGGCCTGTTTGACAAGCAGAGGTAACTCGTTCCAGAGTCTTGGTCCTGCTACAGAGAAGGCCCTGTCACCTCTGCGCTTAAGACGAGTTCCTGGAACTGTGAGGAGCAACTGGTCCGCTGACCTCAGGGAGTGTGGTGGGACATACGGTTGTAGCAGATCAGAGAGATGGGGGGGTGGGGTGGGGGAACTGTTCAGTGATTTGTAGACATACATGAGTATTTTGAACTGGATTCAAAAGTGAACCGGTAACCAGTGCAGTGAGGCCAAAACTGGTGTAATGTGCTCTCTTTTGCCTGTACTGGTTAAAAATTGTGTTGCTGCATTCTGCACCAGTTGTAGTCATGCTATAGAGGTCTGACTGATACCAAACAGGAGCGAATTGCAGTAATCAAGCCTAGATGTAATGAATGCATGTATTAGGGGTCAAGGTTTGGTTTTTTTCAGGAGAGGCTGGACAGCAGCATGTTTAACGGATTTTGGCACCACACCAGTGGATAAACTACTGTTTACTATAGTAAGAATGGATGGACCTAGAGTGGGAAAAACCTCCTTTAGTAGTCGAGGGGGGACCACATAAAAGGGGGAGCCAGAAGGTTTCAAGCTGCACATGACCTGCTCTAGAGAAGATAGAGTGATGGGTTCAAAATGGTCAAATAGAGCTACAAATTGAGGTGGGATGGATGGGTCATGAGTTGGAGGGGAAATGAGAGCACGGGTCGTTGCAATTTTTTTCCAAAAAGAAATATAAGAAGTTGTCGCACAGCTCAGTTGAGGCTTCCAGAGGTGATGGTTCAGTGAGGTAAAGAACAGAGTTTAGGGTGGAGAAGAGGACACGTGGGTTGCGAGAGTTTGAGGTAATTATATCAGATAAGTATTTGGATTTAGCAGCTTTCACTGCTTTCTGATAACGGCGCCAACTCTCTTTAAGTATTTGAAAAGAGACCTGCAGCCTGTCTTTCCTTCACTTTCGCTCCGCCCTCCTAGATTGCTGCCTAACGGCCTTGGTGACATCAATCAGCCAAGGTTCTGCTCCGAGTTTTGATTTTTTGGTTTTAATAGGCGCAACATGATCCAGAGTTTTTAAGCAGACAGAGTTGAACTGGGATGTCAGCTCCTCAGTGGTGGTGAGAAACACCGGGAGCTGAAATATCATTTCAGAGTTATAAACATCAGTGAAACGCGCGGCAGTGAAAAAGTTAATAGCCCGGGTACTACGTGCACAGATGCACGACTTAGGAGTTAGATGGGGGAGGGTGAACTCAAACTGGACTGGCATGTGGTTTGAAAAAACATTATCACCAATAACAAGGTTATTAACAGTCACATCATGAGTTAAATCAAGGTCCAGTGTATGTCCACGCTCTTGGGTGGGACCGTTTACATGCTGAGTTAGATTAAATGAGTCAAATGAACAGTTTTGTCTAGATTGCACATATATTTAGTGGTTGTAGAAATCAAAACATCCTAACCCGGTTTCTCCATGCAGGCAGGGGTCAGCATTTGGCACATGTCTGGCAGCCCTGACCAGGGTTTTTCCCATCTGCTTCCTGGAGCCTCACCTAGACCACAATAATCCATATTCCATCTATAATACCATGAGTGCTTCTCAGATTAAAGGTATAGCTCTGATGTTTTCCTAATTTTAATCCTCAGGACCATCAGTAAACTTTTTCCTCTGTTAGATCATGGACTGCCAGATGAGGTTGCGGATGTGTGCCATCTCCTGCCCTCTTTGGAAGAGGCTCTGAAGGAGGTGGAGGAGTTGGCTGGTGTTGGTGCGGGAGCTCACCAAACCCCCTACGTCCACGTTGCAGAGGTCACTTTGCCCATGCTGTGTAGCTACGTTGCTCACTGGTGGCGCTGGGGCCCAGAGGGTCAACCGGATGGCCCAGTCTTCACCACCGTCATTCCTCAAAATGCCAGTGACCTAATTGGCCACATCCTCCGCATCACCCACAATCACGTGGGTGCCAACCAGGGTGACTGGATGAAACAAATCGCAGGTGTTCTGATCCTGTACAACGCTGTGGTTATTGTATTCAAAGAAACACTGACTGCTAATAACAGCCGTGTTTTTGATTTTAGTTGTTTCCCAGCCGATCGTATGCAAAGCTCGCTCTGAGCTGTTGAAGAGCCACTTCCTGCCGCTCATGGAGAAGTTAAGGAAGAGGACAGAGTGTGTTCTGTTAGAAGAGGAACAGCTGAAAGCAGAAGGATGCTATATTTCTGAGGAAGAACTGCAGATCGAGGAAACATACAGAGTCCTGGTGCGGGACCTCTATGCCTTTTATCCTCTCCTCATTCAGTTTGTTGATTTGAATCGGTAAGACCTTAAAAGTAGTTAAGGTGTGGAAGAAGCAAATCTTTGAGGAAAAGACAGCATTTATACAGTGAATAACTGAATGAACTCTTCTCACTGTTTTGTATTTATGTAATGTTGGTAAGGCATCAATTGTGTCGACTAGTCCAGAAAAATCCAATCTGGGAAATTTAAATTATATCTCTTTGAAAATATATAAGGGCGCATAGTTCAAAGGAGTTATTTAAGTTACTGTTTGTGGTAAGGTTCAGCTTTACAGAAAACTATCCTGTCATGTTAATATTGTTTTGTTTTGTCTTGTTTCAGAGCCAGATGGCTGAAAGAGACAATCCTCGAGGCTGAGCAGCTGTTCAGCATGGTGGCAGAGGTCTTTTTATTCTGGGCCAAATCACATGTAAGGACACACTGTGCACTTTTGTTGTTGTTTTTGCATGCATTTAATCCTCTATGTCAGAATTGTGTGTGTGAATTTTGCACCCAGTAAATAGTGCATATTATATTTGTTCATTTTCTACAACAGCATTTCAAATGGGAGGAGCAGAATTATGTGGTCCAAAATGAAATCAACAACTTGGCATTCTTGGTCTCCAATGCCAAAATATTAGAGGTCAGCTATACTTGGAGTTTGATCATTTGGTTATGTATGCAATCATGTTTAAGAAATGCATCTCTTATCTAGTTTAAACACTTGCTGTATGAGGCTTGAATCAAACAAGCAAATTAAAATGACCTTTTTTGGCTTCTTGATACTCAGTTTAACCATGACAAAAGGAGGATGAAGACAAAAGGGGATCGTCATTCTGTGCACACCTCTCTCATAGTGGCTGCCATGAAGAGGCTGGTTCCTTTGGGACTCAGGATTTGTTTTCCAAGCAACCAGAACCTTATCATGTCGGCAAAGAACGGCTTCTCTCAGGTTGGTTGGAAACGTATAAACATATAAAGTCCTCTTTCTCCTCAAAACGTCCTTTGTTAAGTGTTAATTCTGCAGGATGTTTGGGCTGAATAATGCATGCTCACATCTGACACCAGCAGACTGCAGTGTAGGTAATGTTTTCAATGCTTTGCTCCCCACAGAATAACCCTGAAGATGAGATTCGAGAGCATATTTTCAGCTACCTTACACGTTTTCAGATTCAGGTAATGACTCACTATATTTTAATTATTAATATTTTGTTTTTAGGTACAGTAATCCCTCACAGTGTCTGGAACGTAACCTCCGAGATAGGTGTAAATCCACAAAGTAGCAACGTTATATTTATTTTAGTAGTTATATATATTTTAAGGCTTTACAAACCCTTCCCACACTCTTGCAATGTTCTAAACTCTTAAACCTATGTGATTTTACCAACATACGTAAATGTACTGTACAGTACAGCAGAATTTTATTTGGGTACTCACCAGTAAAGATGCAACTTGAAGGATGAGTTCAGCTTCAGGATTATTTGTGACTTTCCTGCCAGTTCTGTGATCTTAATAGATACATCGTTACTTCTGACTTTGCATTGCAAATCTATTTTTACCACATCGGTTTCTCCGCTAGTGTTTTCATAAGTTCATAAAAATTTAAGATAGTTTCTTACAAGATTAAAGAATACCATTTATTTTTTTCCCATTTTATTGATGCCATTCTGCATATGTATTTATAGCTGAGTAAATTTACCATTTAATTTGTGCAACAAGTGTCTGGTATATTAAACTGGGAAATGCTCTCCTAGCCTGTAAAATCCAGAGCTGTCATTTTAATAATCCTTGTCAGGGACTCATTGTTTACCGGAGACATGAATGTGACAAACACACCACGGCGTGCAATATCTGCAGGCATCATTTCCACATGTCTAATTCAGTGATAAATCTGTTTATTCATAAGTCACTGATAGAATGAATGAATGAACAATGAGGAGAACTTTTATTCCTATCTTAAGTGGCTCTTGGTTTCTACATGGTTGGTTTAATGTGTTTACGTATTTGCTGTTGATGGATGAGCAGTAATTGTCTTTTTGTGATTTATTGTTATTTTTTTATAATCCTGGACATGAAAAAAAGGTTAAACGATTTCAGAACAAAAGTATCGTTTCAGTTCACCAAAATTCTTGTTCCTGTAATTTCTGGTTCAGGTGTTTACTAATTTAATTTCCTTTTCCTTTTAGAACAAATCCATAAACAAGCCCGGGGAAGCCTTGCACTTGGAACAGAAAAAAATAAATGCAACATTCTCTCCTCACAGGCATCAAACAGCGACAGGCAGGAGATTCTTAATGCCCAACATCAAACACAGCTCGGGGCTTTCTCTGACACACAAAGGACGGTGGACAGGATTCTGGAAATAGCTCGAGTCCTTTATTACCTGGATCAGGTGAGCTTTACAATTCTATAAACGAAAAAAAAAGATTAAGATGGAGCAGAGCCTTCATTCTTTGCCTTCTTGGCCTCTGTAAATACAGTGCCATTGAGTGCATCCATCCTCAATGATTGGACGGAGCGCAGAGAACTGTGTGTGTTCAGTGAAGTGAAGTGAAGTGAAATGAAGGTAGTAGTAAGTGCTGTTGAGCTGTCTTCCTCATCATTCAACTCCTCCAAGATAATTATCTCTTACTGACATTGTTGCGACATTTTTATATATACCTGCTTGGTCATGGTTTCACAGAAAATTTCACTTCTGATCGATTTTGAGAGCTGACAGCATAATAATATGTCAGACATCTGTTGCCTATTCACGTCAGGCTCATTTAGATGTCATAAAATTATTTATTTTAGCAGCAGATGAACCTGTCACTAAAAAACAATAACTTTAAATTCATGGCTTTTTGACAAAAAAAATAAAAAATAAAAATCACCAATCCAAACATATGGCAACTTCATCAATTACTTATATTTTATAGTAGATGGATGTAAAGCTTCCTCCTCACTTCATTGTTGCAGCTTTTTTTTTTTTTTTTTTTTTTGTGACTCTGGTAAATTTTCAATGTTCAGTCAAACCAATTGTTTATTTACAACAGGTTCTTGGAAACTGGAGGTTCTTGTGCATGTCAGGGCTTTGCTTTTGTTTTGTTTTTACAGGTGGAACACCCACAGAGAAGTAAAAAGCCTGCATGGTACAAGGTGTTATCTAAACAGAGAAAACGTGCAGTGGTAGCCTGCCTGAGGATGACTCCACTCTACAACTTACCTCGGTAAAAACACCGACCGCTTCTAAAAATATAGAAATATCTAGCTATGTTTAACAAATGTGCCATGTTTTTATTCACATTTTTATTCGACATCTTTCTTCATAAACATTTTTTTTTTTTGTGGGAAGGATGTAGACACGTTGTTTTTGTGATTTTCTTTGATAAACTCCATAAGTTTAGTGGTTTTATCAACTGATTATTATTTTCTTATGAAATAATGATGAGTCAGATTCAAGCTATGATACGGTTTTTTTTACCTTGTTGCCCACCTATTTTGTGTTGCTTAATTTCTTCAACCATTTCTCCTCCTCTCCAGACACCGAGCAGTCAACCTGTTCCTCCAAGGCTACAATACGTTCTGGATTTCCACTGAAGATCACAACTTTGAAGAGACACTTGTTGAGAATTTAGCTGTAAGTTGCAGAGAAGCTGTTTCAACATAAACACACAAAACATCTATCTATAGAACAAGGCAGATGAAGAACATCTTTATTACTGTCTTTGAAAAATGGTATACAGTAGTCCCTCGCTACTTAGTGGTTCGTTTTTCGTGGACTCGCTCTATCATGGTTTTTCAAAATAAGATTGGACATGATACACAATGGTTGATAGATGGATGAGCCGCAGTAATATAATATAATAATATAATACAATATCCGGTAGAGATATTTTTAATATAAAATAAATTATTTTCAATGATTTGGCACACGTGTGCAACCCACAGCTGTGGGAGAAGCTTCCTCCTGCAGCTCATCAGCTGATCTCTGCGCAGAGTGGAGAAGTGTGCGTGGACGAGAGTGCAACCGGAGGCAGAGAGCTGAAATCATGACATTCTGTGCTCTTTTAAAGTGTTTAGAATATTGCAATAGTGTGGGAAGGGTTCAAAATGCCTTTATAATTCTATCTATCTATCTATCTATCTATCTATCTATCTATCTATCTATCTATCTATCTATCTATCTATCTATCCATCCATCTCCCTATCCATATATCTATATATCTATATATCTATCTATATATATATATCTATATATCTATATATCTATCTATCTATATATCTATCTATCTATATCTATATATCTATCTATCTATATCTATATATCTATCTATCTATATATCTATCTATCTATATATCTATCTATCTATATCT